CAGAGCGGAGTTGACTGTGACAACGGGGTTTGAGTCAAGAACTCACAGAAAGTTTGTAAGACAAAAACAAAAGCCAAAAAATAAAACAAACAAATTAATAACAGGGTAAGAATGTGGTAAAATCTGAAAATGTGGTAAAAATCAGAAGGGTACTTTTCTTTTTCTGGATTGCTTTTCAAAACACTGTCGGTTGGGTTTAGGGAAGGGGGTGGGTGGGGCTATCAGTTGGTTGGTCTGTCGGTCAGTCAGTCAGGCATTCAGTCAGTCGACAGTGGCCTCTGGTGGACTTACACAAGAACAGAAGGCGCAAATGGCACTCACAAGTAATTTGACATCTCAAAAAGCATACACAGCGGTTTCTGGTGCATTCTTAAAAACAAAAACTGCAAAAAAATTTTTTAAAAGTAACTCTTGGGACGTATTTGGTGCACTCCCGAAATGTATATAGGTGTACTGTACGTGATCAGAATAAACCTGGGTTATTTTAATGACAAAGGCGGGAATTCATGAGGTCAAACAGAACTGACTGTACCTCATGTTTGTTTTATACAGATTACAAAACCAGAGAACATTTACTTTTAGGTATACTTGGTTAGTTTAAAAGAAGAGATTTCAAGCTTTATGTAGATATATTTCTCATGTCTGTGAGGCAAGTAGATGAGATTCCAGGGAGTTTGCCGAAACCAAATGGTTCATATCAATGAAGCTGCAAAAACCGTCACAAAAACACATCTGTACTGAGCCCCTCCTCTGGACAATCGTTAGCTTATAGCGATTGATGATTGGCTCCTTTTCTAGAAGGCCGGGCTTCCATTGCTAGAGCGGCCATATTGACATTAACATTTTTCGACGCTCAAAACTATACTAGTGATATGTCTTCTGTATTTTACAGTCCTTGTTAATACAAAAGCAACTACTGTAATGAAATGATGAAAGTATGACCTCAATCCCCATAAATATTTCACAATTAAATAGCTTTGTCATGGAGTTCTGTGCATAATCCTGTCTCCTCTTTCCCCAAACGCTTTGTTTGCCTCCGGTGTTTTGACTCGTTATCTTTTGATTAATCTGTTTAATTGTTTGTTTCCCTTTTCAGTACGACCCTGATTGGTTGTGTAACTTCTTTGTTTGTTTGTTTGTTTATTCAGCTCCAACATCAGTGTGTGTTTGGCGAATTCACAATGCGCTTCATGAATATTTATTGCGTGCAGCCTGGTGGTATTCAGATTCTGGAGATTATATGCTCGCTTTGTGTATGTGGGGAAGCAGGAGCGAGATTCATTGACTCGTTAGCATCACTTAGTTATGACCTGCTTGCCAGTTCTAAAAGCATTGATTTTTTTTATTGGTTGATGAATATTCTGATACAAATATTTTTTTCAAGTAACACAATGTAATAATAATGTAGACCGAATAATATATTTTAGATTGTATTACAACAAAAAATAACAAACATTAAAAGTGTTGTGTAGAAATCATGAGGAATAATAATTGTAACAATAGCAACAATTATTATTACAATTCTTATTAATTTTTCATTTACTTTTAATTTGACCATTGTATTACTTTCATGATTAAAAGTCATTCTACCCCCTTTTCATTCATCCATTGCTCAGTGAGCGCTCTTTAGGATGAGTCGTTAAACCAAGAATGTCCTTTAGAAAAGAGTAGGGGTTTAACTCCGGCATCCTGGCCAAATTTGCCCATTGGCCTCTGTTCATCATAATGGAGTCTCCTCTCCACTAATCAGCTGGTCTGTGGTGTGTGGTCTGGTGCAATATGGCTGCCGTCGAATCATCCAGGTGGATGGTGTGCACTGGTGTTTGATGAGGAGATTCCCCCCCCCTAAAAAATGTGTAAAGCAATTTGAGTGTCCAGAAAATTGCTAAATGTAAGGAATTATTATTATTATTATTATTAAATTACTCATTTTTTTTCAGTTTTACTCATTTCTAGTATTGTCTTTTTTGTTTTTATAATTATATCATGAGTACTATCTATTTGCCTATATTAATTTCCAAATTTTCTTAGACTTTCATCCTCAACTGTATACTATAAAACATGTTAGATTCTGATCTCACCGACTACCTCTTTATAAATGTCACAAAACAATCTATTCTCAACTAAACTCCCGATTGAAGTAACGCAAAATGGTTTCCTCATCCATGCTTAGGGTACTTGTGAAATCAAAATGTACATAGTTTATTGTCCTAGCCCACATTGTTATTCTTAAGGTGAACAATTAATCCACGCTAGTTTAAAAAAACGTTACTTTGGCAATTGTCAAAAAAATCTGACCATTTGCTTTGACATTCGGCAACCTAGGCTCATTCTGAAAATGTACCCCTATATACATTTCTGGAGAGCGCCAAATATGTTCCATGAGGTACGTTTATTTAGCAGTTTTTGTTTTTACGAATCTATTAGAGGCTGGTGTTTACGCTTTTAAGATCTCAGATTATTCTCACAAGTGCCATTGGCCCCTGCTTTTCTCACGTAATCCCACCTGTCGACTGGCTGACTTATCGACTGACCCACACGCCTCCTTCCCTAAACCCAATCAATAGTGTTTTCAAAAGCACCAATTGACCCGCCCTCCCACTTTCGTAAACTCAACTGACAGTTTTAAAAAGCAATCCAGTTGCAATGAAGCTGCAAAAAGCGTCATAAAAACACATGTCTGCACTGAGCCCTTTCCACGAAGAATCGTTAGCTTATAGCGGGCCATGAATGGCTCCTTTACTAGAAGGCGGGGCTTCCATTTCTAGAGCGGCCATATCGACCTTTTTAATGTTTAAAACTATACTATTGACTCGTCTTGTGTATTTTACAGTCTTTGTTAATACAAAAGCAGCTACTGTAATGAAATGATTAAAGTATGACCTCAATCCCCAGCAATATTTGAGAGTAAAATAGCTTTGTCATGGAGTTCTGCGCATAATCCTGTCACAAAAAATCCAGAAAAAGAAAAGCCCTAGCCTGATTTTTACCACGTTTTTGGATTTTACCACATTCTCACCCAGTTATTTAATTGTTTATTTTATTTTTCGGCTTCTGTTTTTGTCTTATGCCGAGTTCAGACAGCATGATTTTCAAAGTAATCGTGTCACAGATGTTTTCACACTGCATGGCTATCTGGGCTAGCATTTTGTCGCTGCTTTGTTTACACTGCAAGATGGATCGGCGACAGGGGGTTTTACACCATATGACTTTACAATAGGAAGAATTGTCGACAACTTTGTTCAAACTACATCTCACTACCAAAAACACGTAGTATATCTTTTGTTATCAACTACATAATAAGAAAGAAACCTTTAATAGGGTAGAAAATGTACATATTTGCTCACCTGGGTTTGAAGGGAACTAGCAATTTCTCCTCAACTTTTTTCTTTTTTGACTCGATTGAGGTATTGCTCACATGACACGTCAAACAGTCATAGTGCTCCAGCCAAATTTACACTAGCTTTTCCTCAATTTCTTGGGTCTAAATAAACTGAAAATGAGCCGAAATGCAGCCATACGTATTTCTGGCTACATAACTTGCTTAATTATAAGTCTACGTTTTCAGAATGAGCCTGTTGGCATTCAGAGTGGCAATCGTTCAATGTTGATGTCAATTTGACGACTACAGCCACAACATTCTTAACCACACCCCTTTTACCATTATGATGGAATGAGGCACAAAAGAAAGCCCCGCCCCTACTCAATATTCCATTTCAGTACATCGACATACTGAAATAAAAGTTTCAGCGACTTCCAATTAACACAGACTTTAACCAACTTATTTCAACCTGCCCTCAGATCAGAGTCAAATCCTTCTATCATCATCGGCCTTCGGTATAATGCGGCACGATAACCGCTGACACTTTTCATTACAGCAGACTAATCACCTCAGAGCTTTTGTTGTCTGGAAGAGGAATCTCTCTCTCTCTCTCTTTCTCTCCGAAATGATCTTTAACTCACAATCTATCCCATATTGTCTCATCTGCTCCATTTCACACTCCCAGACACCCGTCCAAACCCTGAGATCAATCACAAGGTGTTATGACTGTTCTAGCGTTCCTGTGCCAGACATTGCTGTGTGTGTGTGGGGTGGGGGGGAGAAAGAAAGAGAGAGAGAAAGACAGAACAGCTGATATCCAACGGATGAAACGCAGGAGAGGAGGAGAAGAAACGGAGAGGGGGGTTGGTTAGAGGAAGCGGAGCGAGACGCTGAAGCAGGGACACTGACGACAGCCTCTGTTTAGGTGACACTGATTTATGATGTTCAGGAGGAACAGACATGGTTTATGTCGGACCGAGAGAAGCCGAAACCGCACCTATATCCTGGCAATCGCCACCGGTGTCACCGCATCAGAAGAAGTCAAACAGCGATGGAGGAAACTAGTTTAGCGCACGGCTTCCAGAAAGCCAACATCTATAGCGGGATTTCACGATGACTCTAATGTAGAAGTCTATAATGTGCGCCGTAAATTACGAAGACTTGCACGTTCGGCTGTTTTAGTGTTGCTTTTCCCTGCATGCCTTGCTAAATCTGCCTTTTTTTTGTCTGCTGGTTCCCTCTGCACTCTTCTTGGGAAGGAGGTAAAACTGGGACACCGGAGGAAGAGAAAGGAGCAGCGTTTCTATATGTCTTGCAATCCGCAACGCCTTTGTCGTACACACATTTCTCACACGTTACATGCGTGTCGCTCGAATCCATACGGATGCCTTCTGTGTTTTGTGTGGTTTTGCTGGAAATGAGGACAGCTGGAGAGAGAGAGAGAGAGATAGAGATAAAGAGGGAGAGAGGGCAGAGACAGTTTGCTGGCAGTGCATGTCAGGTTCATTCGGTTCATGTGTAGTTTCCTCTGTCTGCCACCAGGGGGCCGGACAGAACCCACTGCGCACTCCTTTTTTGCCGCTCAAGCTTTAACTTCTGTCCTCATTAGTGTGCTTCTGTGAACTCCTGAGGCTTGAAATGAGCTTGATGTGCTGAATCTTGTTTCCGTTTGTCACAGGTCAAAGCCGCGTGCAGGAGAGCCAAAGACGTCATCGGGTTTGGAGAAGAAACAAGCATCGTGAGAGGGAAGCATTTGTACGGTAAGGAGAGATGGTGAAGACGTGTCGTCATAAACAAGTGACGCTTTAATTGATATGGAATCCAAATTTTCAATGTTTATTTTGCTAGCGCACATCGTTGGTCTTCAGGTGAGCTATTTATCTTTGTGAGTTAATCCACATGCACATATGAAAATGTTTGATTTAGTGACCATCGTTAATCAAAAGCTTAACACTTGAATTAGCAGTTCGTCTCTGATGATGTATGTTTGATATCTTGGGCGAAACATGCTTCGTCACACCCCTTCAACCGTTAGTTTGCTGCAAGTGAAAGATAAATGTAGGAGCGCTAAAATGAAACCCTGCCCCTTACTCAGTATTTCGTTTCAGTTGGAAGTACATCATCACACAGACATAGAACTCTGCAGCAAATTATATATATATATATCCACTTTATATATTGATTTGGTAAGATTTAATAATATTTACTGCATTTGTTTGATCAGAAATTCTTTTAAAAAACAGTAATATTGTGAAAGATTTTTAAAATGGAATTTGATAAAAAGACAAAGCTAAAAAATGTTTCTTTTCGATTTTAATATGTTGTTTTGATGCTTATTAATATCAGTGTTCACAATTATTAGTGGTCAGAAATAATTGTTGTAGAAACATTTTACACTTCAAAATTGCAAGTAATTGATACTATATAAGAAATGGCAGATTAAAGATGGAAGAATAATATCTAAAAATTGTGTTAAATAATCTGTATTTTGATTAATTTTGCAGTGTGCTGTTAAAATAGATAAATTGATAACGTTATACAAAGACTTCAATAATTTAAATAGACAACATTTATATGCAACCCAGACTCATTCTGAAAACGTACAGTCTTATACATTTTTGTAGAGCGCCAAATACATCCTAGGAGGTACGTTTTTTTTGCATTTTTCATTTTCGCGAATGCACCAGAGGCGGCTGTGTATGCTTTTTGGCATCTCAAATTTCTCTCGTGAGTGCTATTCACGCCTGCTGTACTTGTGTAAATCCACCAGAGGCTGCTGTGGACTGACCGACTGACCAATCAACTGACCCCCCTCCCCCTTCCCTAAATCCATCCGAAAAAAAAGCAATGCAGAAAAAGAACAGCCCTCACCTAATTTTCACTATATTCTCACCATGTTATTTACTTGTTTACTTCTTATTTTGGCTTTTGTTTTTGTTTTACCTGCTTTTTAGAACTGTTCCTCACTGGACTCAAACCCCGTTTTCTTGGTCAACTCCTCTCTGTGTCTTAAGTCCACCGATGTACATGGCGAACTAACTGGACAAACTGGTAACAGCGGAAAAGCGGTCTATACGGTGGTAAGCGGTTAGAAGGTAAGCAGGAAAAGGAACAGCGCCTTACAGCACCGTAGAGTTTGTTTGAAAGACAAAATGCAGCCATACGTACATCTGGCTAAATAATTTAAGATCTTCAGAAATATAAATAGGGCTACATTTTTAGAATAAGCTTGTGTTGTTTCTATGAATCACTAGTTATAGTACATATACATTTTTGGAACAAGTATTTATTTAAAATGAAATGCATATTACTAAGTATATATCAACAAATATATTACACAATTTGTAATAAACTGTATTTTTGATTTTCTCAAAACCAAGCAAGCCAGTGGTGACAGTGGAGAGGAACAAACTTACCAATTGACGAAAGTAAAAGAAAAAACCCTTGAGAGAAACCAGACTCAGTTGGTCACCACTATTTCTCCTCTGGACAAACTTCGTGTGAAAAATCAAATGATCAAACCTGTCTCAAGAACTTAATTGTTATGTATATGTAATTGTGACTAAAATATACAGATATTCGTTGTTGTCTTTGAACTAACCTTTAAGTAATGAAATGTCGAGCCAGAAGTGTGAGTTTCATCCAGATCAGTCCAAATCGATGTATGTCTGTGTCCCTGAGACCCTTAACCTGTGATGTCTTCCAAGGTCACAGGTGAGGTCCTTGGGAACACGGCTGTATATGATGACGTCAGTGCGATATAAACACATGTCGCATGATCCATCTGCGACTGGACAACCTAGTGGGCATCTTGAAAGCAAAACGACATTGAAAAACCACAAATAAATAACTAAACTAAAATAAAAATTGTTTAGATGTTGACTTGTCTAAACCATTGGTCCTCAACCATCGGAACCGGTTCGAGGATCAATTGGTACGGGGAAGAAGAAATCATTAATTATTTCTGTTTTATTTAATATCGGAGTCTGAACGATCTTTTATTTTGAAAAGTCTTTTATTTTGAAAAATGACCGTATTCTCTCAGTTACAAATTTTAACCCACAAGCAGCAAAATGAGTAAGAAACAGACGTATTTGGAAAGTTTCTTTGCTCAGGGGATAAGTCCTATTGAAAGACTCACAAACTGCCAAAGAATGAATCCACAACCTACTTATTAACAAATCAGGTGAATCCACCATGACAGTGCAAGAAGATCAACTGATGAGACGACGACGACCTTTTAGGGGCTGTTCATATATCATGTCTTTTCACGAGTTCGGGCAAGTTCATTATTTCCAATGGAGGTGCTCGAACAAGCGCCGTGATTAGCTCGCGCTTTCCAGATGCACCCAGTGAATGAATGCTACGAGCGGACCATGAGTCACGTGACAAGAACTTACCATCCAGCTTGTTAGGAATATACACATTTCGGAAGATTAATTATCTCAGACAAACATCGAACACCCACATTTTCTCCATAAGTAAAACTGCCAGCTTGTCATCCTCTGAGCAAACAGTTGATGGTCGCCTTGCAACCTACAAACCCCTTTACCCCCACCCCCGAACAGTGGTAATATTGTTAACCGTTGACCGGTCCGCGATGATAAAAACAACCCAGGTTCATTCTGAAATGTAGTCTTGTGGATGTTTCTGGAGACCAAGAAATGCGTCCCAGGAGGTACGTAATTTTGCAGTTTTTGTTTTCGCGAATCTGCAAGAGGCCGCTGTGTGCACTTTTTCACATTTCAAATGTCTCTTGTGAGTGCCATTAGCACCCGCTCTATTCTCACGTGAACCCACCAGAGGCCGCTGTTGACCCACTGAATGATTGACTGGGTGACTGGCCTATCGACCGACCCTGCTTCCTTCTTCCCTAAACCCAACCAATTTTATTGATTGACCCGCCCGCCTGCTTACTTCCCTAAACCCAACCGATGGTTTACAAAAGCTGTCCAGAAAAAGAAAAGCCCTCGTCTGATTTTTAACACCTTTTTTTGATTTTACCACATCCTCACCCTGTTGTTCACTAGTTCATTTTATTTTTTGGATTTTGTTCTTGTCTTACTTGATTTTTGGAACCGCTTTTCCCCAGACTCAAACACGGTCATCGTGGTCAACTTCTCTCTGCGTCTCAAGTCCGTCGATAAACAAACTGGTTGGGGCAGGAAAGCCCTCCACACGAAGGTAAAGCCTGATTTATACTTCTGCGTCAGGTGACCGTCGTAACTCAAGGCGCATGCAACGCGCGTGGCTGTGCATTTATACTTCTGCGCACTGTCTCTGTCGGTCTGCATTAACACTTCCGAAACGCTAGTTGGCAGTGAGGTGTAAATGTTCCTCTGTGTCAAGTTTCTTCACTGCTTTCTTGGTTTTCTCATTTTGAGGCAGGAACTGGCGGACGTGCAACAACTTTAACTATGCGGTAAACACAAAACAAATCTTTACATCCGGAGCTCCTTCACGGGACTCCACACTTGAAAACAATCGCTCGCGATATTCGCGCGGCTCTCGGTCCCGCCCAGACTCGTCAGCGATACCAATCCGACCAATCACAGAGCTTACGCTACGCGTCGTTGCGACGTGTAGTTAAATTTTTTGAGAGGTGCACGTCAGTGACGGCGAGGGCCACGGCGAAGGGCTATGTAGCATAAGCCGTAGCATAAGCCGGTGTTTGACGCAGAAGTATAAATCAGCCTTAAGTGGTCAGCCGGTAAGCGCCAAAAGGAACCCATCATACCACCCAGTAGCGGTCGCCTATAAAATTAAATGTAGCCATATGTACGGTCTCCAAAAATGTCCACAGGACTACGTTTTCAGAATGAGCCTGTGTTGGATAAAAAGGTTGAGGACCACTGGTCTAAACATTAAAAAACACGTCAAACGTTGATTGCATGACTGTCCTCTAAACGTTTTATTGACTTTTTTTTCACACCAACCTTAGATGCCAATTTGATGTCGTTTTGACATCAAGATAGTTCACAGGGAAAGTATTTGAAATTATTTTTGTCGCTTGTTCAAACCACTTATTTAAAATGAGCTGAATCAACACAATTGTTGAGGTTTTGGGGACAACTTAATTGTGTTAAGTAATGTTTAATCCCCTCAAATTTATAAAAACAATTAAGATAACTTAATTAATTTGGGATGGGACAACATGAAGGAATTGTGTGGAACCCAGCATTTTTTTATGAGTGTAAATATGTTATAATCTTTCAGATGAATAAACGTCTAAAGTTACAATAATTTTTGTGTCGTTATTTTGGTGGTCAAAAAAACATCAATGTGTGGATGGCAAATGGAAGTCAAGATTTTGACGTGAACTTGATTAGCATTTTTTGACATCAATGTCAATTTGATGTCGAGGTGCCTAATGGATACTCTGATTTTACCATGGTTTTCAGGATCTCACACAATATCTGTATATCTGTATTGGCCAATAAGGAGTCTGGTTGGTCTTTCCACTATACATGTGTCGTGACTGACATTAACATGAGTGACTGTTGGCTTCCAGACATCGGTGAGATCAGCTTCAGACGCTTACGCAGCTGTCGGGGACGGAATCCATTGGCTGACTTTGTGCCCTGACCACTCAGAGCGACCAATCCAAAGCCAGCCTGGGTTCACGACCCCTATACATTTCTCCCGAGGCCTGGATGTGGATCTCCTCCATGAAAGCGTTTCACAGGCTAGCCTGCCATCTTGTGCTCATTATCGCCCAACACTGCGCTGATGGATGTTGCCCTGAAGCAGCTCTAAAACAGACCTGCCGCTTTTATCGTTTTGCTGCAGTGAAGATAATCGTATTTCACAAACAGAGAGACTGAGTGAACGTGAAGGGAACATGTCGAATTAGATTGAGTTGATACTGGATCTATCCACATAAAAAAGATAGTCCTCTATTAGTAAATACTGTGGTGTTTTTGAAGCATACTATAGTAAAGTGTATTATACTGTAGTATCAGTTAATAATACAGAAAACTGTAATAAATTATGTAATATACTTATACTTTACTATGGTAAACTGTGGTGTATAATTTATATAGTTGTAGAAAACTACAGTATCAGTGGGTAATATTAACATAGTAATCATAATACTATGACTGTTGTATTTCCATATAGCAACTACAGATACCACAGCAGATTGTTTTAAATACTTTACTATAGTATGGTTCAAAGACATTAGTATATGTACTATAGTATTTTTTTACATGGATGTAACACAAGTAGGCTTTGTGTTGGATGTAAATATTTAACATTTACTCTGTATTTATTAGTAAACTGAAATACATCATATAATGTGTAGAGGGTATTTCATGTGTGTTGTGAGTTTACTTATGTGTTCTTTATGATCTCACTGTACTATTATATATATTTATATCCAATACATTCATTGAAGACCCGTTCACATCATGACTAGTAACTGTACTACCAATAATAATAATAAATATATAAAGATCTAAAAAGGGTGCATTCACACTTGTCAAGTTTGGCTTTATTATGAATTCCAGTGTGTTTTTTTCTATTATGGTTTATTTAAAGAGGCATCGTCAAATAATGAGATCAGTACATGGAAACTGTGCCCAGTGAGCCTCAGACACCCTTGTTTCCTCGACCTCATGTAATTTCAGCAAATATAAACCCAACTTGAATCCACGAGAGGCCGCTGTATGCACTTTTTCGTATCTCAAATGTCTCTTGCGAGTGTCGTTTGCACCTGCGCTGTTCTCGCGTAAACCCACCAGAGGCCGATGTCGAATGACCGTCTGTCTGACTGATTGAATGATTGCCAGTGCGACTGGCCAATCAACTGACCCACCCTACTTCTTCCCTAAACCCAACCAATTTTATCGATTGACCCGCCCACCTGCTTACCTTTTTTAAACCCAATAAACAATTTACAAAAGCCGTCCAGGAAAAGAAAAGCCCCCATCTGATTTTTACCACGTTTTGGGATTTTACCACATTCTCACCCTGTTATGAACTTGTTTACTTTATTTTTTGGATTCTGTTTTTGTCTTACCTGATTTCTGGAACCGCGCTCCCCAGACTCGAACCCAGTTGTCGTCGTCATGATCAACTCCTCTCTGCATCTTAAGTCCGCTGATGTACACAACAAGCTAACTGGACAAACTGGTTGCAGCGGGAAAGCTCTCCACACGGAGGTAAGCAGTCAGCCAGTAAGCGCGAAAAGGAACGGTGTCATACCGCCCCATGGCGTTCGCTTAAAAAAATTAAATGCAGACATAAGTACTCCCGGCTACATAATTCGCAGTCTCCAGAAACATCCATGGGACTACGTTTTCAGAATGAGCCTGTGTTGTATAAACCCCTGGTGAAATGGATGCCAATCAGAACGCAATGCAGACTGTTGCGTTACATACGTGGTACATCCTCAAAATTTGCATGTACTTTAGGTCAAGTTCTATGCTGTCCAGGCCTAACGAGCTGCCGCATAATCATGAGATCAGCAGTCAAAACTCAGACGGATGTGGTGCTCACAAAATTATTAATATACATGCCACAGTCTGTGTTTTGAGATTACAAAAAGGATCATTTTCCTTCCTTAATTGTAAGTGTTTTAATCAAAAGTTTATATTAAACCCTTATTTTGAAAATGGGAGAAACAATTACTAGGCAACAACTCAACCAGTTGTCACTTTAGAGCTCTTCAGAAAGCAAATGAGGTATATACAGAATCCCTTTCCCCATTTTGTATATACACTCACTGGCCAGTTTATTAGGTTTGCATTAC